TATGGTTCCTGACATTTTTATGGTCAGTTTTTGTTTTGTTTTTCAAAAGAAGCTTCAGCCTCAAAGGAACAGCTGCCCTGGCAGCCAGACAAACTGGAATTTCATTTAAATAGCATGGTCTGGTTGGCTGTCCTCACAATGCTTCCACGTAGACTTCAGCCTTTTCCTCACAGAAGAGTAATAAGCCGCCCAAAAAGCCAAACACATGGGACAACTTGCAAGGTGGCACAGCCACTGCTCTAGTAGGGAGGGCTGGGCATGCTAGTATTTCTCTCCCTACAGATGTTTATGGTGTATGCTAGGAGCTGCTGCTGCATCAGGGTCAGAAGTGGGGCACAAGGAGTCTCACAGCTGAACTACAATGTCTAAAATCACCACACACACACACACACAAAAAAAAAAAAAAAAAAAAAGAGGAAAAACGGGAAACAATAATACAGGGATAGGGAAGACAGTAGGCCAAAGGAGTGACCCTTTCGGGGTAGCTGAGCCAACTGGACTTGCAGTGTTTACCCTGACATTTGCCTCTGACACTGTGTCTGGTCTGTGGCCTAAGGCAAACAACAAAAACAAAAACCACCACCAACAACAACACACTCAGAGAAAACCAGTGAAAATATTGAACCCTCAATGTTACGCAAAAAGAGAAGCACAGCTGGAATCGTTTTGAGAAGGTCTGGGGTTTGTCCTGTGACAGTTTCATCTCTGTGGTTTTTCTTGGTATCGATGCAGTGAGGAAAGCAGACAGCTGTATTTCCTTTTTTAACAATAAACACAGTCCTAAGCAGAAATTGCCCGGTACGCGGAGGATCGGAGCCCTCCTGGTCTCTCTCCCCTAGCAGTGCAGGCCGGAGCTTCCCCTCAGGCACCACATTGGCCCCAAGCGGGGCCACGTGCCATGGCAAGGCCTGGGCATGGAGACACGGGGTGGCACCCAAACCCATCGCACTGCACCTCCAGTCCCTGAAACCAGCCAGGCTCCAGTTTGGAAGAGTGTAAGAGGAGTACACACATACGATAATGCTTCCCCCTGAATACAGACCCATTCTCTGGCACGATACAGTTCAGGTACTTCCTGAGCCAGAAGTAGTTTCTGTGTATTTAATAACCGTGGTGGATTTTTTTTTTTTTTGCTCCAAGGCTGAACAGAACCTTGTGCAAAGACACACCTTTCTCTATTCATTTTAAATATGCCTCTTGCAACGCCTCACTCTTCCCAGGCTTTGCAGGGGGCAAGAACAGCCTCATCTGTGATGGCCAGCGAGGGCAAGGGGGTTTCTTTGCCTCTCCAGGAATAAGACCAGCTGGAGGTCCTCAAAAACAAGGGGCCGGGCAAGCACAATCCCACACAGAACTGGAGTATCCTGTCAAGGGAAGCAGCACAGAGCCAGTGAGGCTAGGCTAGCCTCAAGGCCGAGCAGAAGACATGAGCCACGAAACCCACGAAAACGCAGATCCCGCAGCAGAGCACCGAACTTTCTCGAGGGCACGGCGCGCCAGCAGACACCTAAACGTGAGGCAAGCTTTTCCCCCAGCTCAGCACATCAGGCACCATGTTCTTTGGAAAACCTGACTCACAGTGTTACAAGCAACGTCAGCAGCTCAAACCCTGTTATTTATCTGTAGGACAACAATGTCTAGAGGCCCCAGGCGTGGCATAGCATTCCTCCAACCTGGTGCTGCGCAATCCCGCTGGCTGCAAGCAGTAGCTCCAGGAGAGCTGACCTGGCATCAGCAAAAGCGGGCAGCTTCTCAGGACACTCGAGCAGACATGGCTTCCTGAGGGCTACAAGCCATCTCCTTTCTCTTTTCTGATCAACCACATCACTGCAGAGAATATTTAGATTTGAAACCACAGTGCAAGCCTCTGGTGGCTCTGTTGATATTGGGGAGGTACCTCAAGCACATATCGCTCTGCTTAATTTCATCCCATGCAGATTTAGCCCCACTGGGTCTGCGTCACAGGCGAGGCAGACACAGGCAACCAACATCTCTTTCTGTGGGTCATGTAAGCACGCCTAATCTTCCATCAGCCTCCAGGGGGGAAGCTGCTGCTCCCTCTCTGAGCTCGTGTTTTGCTTCAGCATATCAGGAGCTTTTTCTGTGGGGAAGCAGTGTGGCATTTCCACGGCTCTTGCTCATCAAGACCTCCCCAAAAAATCCAGCTGCAATTTCTCCTGTGCACAGCCATTTAGAAGATTTAGTAAAATAAATCTCATGCCAGTGGGGAAACAGACATAATTCATCCGGCATCAGCTTCACCACAAAATGGACACAAAGAAAAACTGGGAGGTTTCTCAGTCTTATGGCCAACACTGGAAGAGAAGAGAGAGCTCACAAACAGCCTCACATAGCTGGGGAGAGACATCACTTAATGATCTGCATCAGCTATACCTCAATTTCAGAAGCCCTATGCAGAATTAAATGCTTTCTGCTAGCTGCCAGGGAGGACTTTTTAAACTACAGAGGAAAAAGTGAGCTACCCCAAACCAAGAACAGAGAGGAGAAAGGCAGGTCTGGTAGACAAGGACACAGCATAGTGCATAAAGATCTAGATTCACACCTCTTTTTTGCCCTGACTTTCTTTGTGACCTTGGGCAGCCTGCCATAAGCCTTCTCTGCAGAAGTTTTAAGCATTTTCTTTGTGTGTTGGGAGGCCCAGTGCTCAGCACCCTGGCAGACCAGCTGAGTGCACACCTGGTCCTTGTTGGCCATGCTGGGGGAAGGCACCACATTACAGGACATCAGGAGCAACCCTGGCCACAGCTAGACGCCCCTTTTGTTTGTACCCCTTTACCGAACAAGAAACATCGCAGCCTCCCAAAACATGCTGTCATCAAGGAGACTTCAGTCTGCTCTGAAAAGGCCTAAGAGCTTTCCTCCAGAAATCAAACAGTTCTTCACCATCTACCTCATCCTAAATAAAAGACAAGAGAAGGAACTGGTGCCACTGCCACAAGGCATTACAAGTCTTGCCATCCCATCTGGCCCACAGCAAAGTAGATCAGAAGAGGAAAAATCCTTGCTGAACCATGAAGATTGGCATATCATGTTTCCTCAGATTCGGACCCAGTCTTACAGATTTTACACCACAATTATGGCTCCTTACGCTGTGTGAGTCAGCAGGGATACATGGCTTTCTGTGGAGAGGAGGAACTGTTCCCACAGATACGCAATAAGGTGTATCTGTATGTTTTCAGGAGGCATTCCTGTAGTAACATATTAGACAGAAGAATTTGCTTCAACAAGATACCTGCAGAAATGGGCCAGCATTTTCACTTTTGGCACAGAATGAGCAACAGGATAGGTCCTTGTTTCAAATCCGCAGCTCTAAGACAGACCTTGGGGATCTGTTACCAAATCCTAAACTGTTAGGTCAAGCTAAACAATAGAATCCGGAAAGTAATTTGAACACCTATTTGTTGTTATAAATACTCAAGTTTCAGAATAGAGCATTAAGCAAATACGCATCTTTGAAGGCTACAGTATGTGTTTAGAAGCACCAAGTCAGGAAGCTGAACAACGAGATATACGCTGCGTGCCACCATCAGACCACCCATGTACGCCTTATGCGTACCCAGTATCACGCAAACAGGAATTTGAGTATAAGCCCTTATCATTAGATAGAGATTGCTGGGTTGTGGGTCTGGGGGCACTGGAGTTGCCCACACAGCTTCATCTCACTGCAGCGTTTGGGCGTTGGGATTCGGGTTTTGCATCTCAAACAGGAACAACTCTAAGTTGATTCATGCCAAAAAAAACGGGGGATTTTTGGTATGATCACAACACTAGACGTCATCTTCCTGTACCAGCAAGGGTTATTGAAAATGACCAGCCCAACTTCATAAAAATATCAGCGTGTTTATGGTGTGGTCTGCTACCACTCCACGCTCAGTGTGAGTTGTGGTTTCTGGGCACACAGCAGTAGACTGCCTGCTACAGACTGTAAACAAAGATACAGGTTGGAAAACCTAAAAGGTGGGAGAGGACTCATGCAAACATAGATGCAAGATTTCATAAGAAGCAAAACAGAAAAGCCTGGACAGATCCATATCCAGTTGAGGTCAACTAACATTTGTGGCTGAATCAGTACAAAAGAAATAAGTGAATAGGAAAATATTCATTTCCTTTACTTCAGAAATAGAAACAGTGTCAGGCACAGGAAGTACATGTTCTCATGTTTAGATTTTCAAATAAATATCGGATGAAATGACATCAAAGAAGAAATAGAAAAAGCCTGGGAAAGTCCTTTTTTGTAGGCTTTGCTTTCCTTTGCATAAAGGCAAGGTTTTGCCTTATTTCTACATTTGCAGTTTCACTGAGATCATTTCAATGGTACCTGAAATTCAGCATACGTCACGTTATAAACCATTCAGCAACTGAGCAGGAAAGATAGTTGTGTGGGTTAAAAAAAAAAAAAAAAAAAAAGAGAGAGAGAGAGAGACCACAGGTTACTTCAATTTAAAGTTTATTATCTCCTTATAAAGACTTCACAAAGAGGAAAAAAAAAAAAGAAAAAAAGAAAAGAACAGTGACAGGATTATTTACTCCAGTAAGACCATAAAATAATTGTTAAAAAGTTTTTTTGCCTACATAATCCATCCAGTCTTCCTGCATGTGGACCACTTCCCATACTACTGGACCTGGTGACTCCTCTCTAAGGTCCTTCACTGCTTAAAGCATTCCTATAAAATGTAAGGGGCTTGGTGCAAGCACAGTGAAAGTTCATTGCATCTACATTACTCCTTTACTTCTGTCTTCTAGTGCATCAGGTTTACAAGGAAAAGAGGGAAAAGCATTCTGGATAACCCAGATAATTTTTTGCCAGTGGTAAACTGTGAACACTCCTTTCTGAGAGGTGAAGGACATTTTCCTTGTATTTGAGCCTGGGACGCTCTCTTCAGTTTCCGATTTAGCCTCGATTCTTTCCATTCCAATTGTAATGTGTTTCTGGGAACTGTTTCCACTCTATTCCATTCAAGGCAGTTGCAGAGACTTGCTGACCCCTCTGCACTGTGAGGGAGCACAGAGCCCTCGGGCTGGGAACGGTCTGGCCCTGGGGACAGCAGGTGGTGAATCAGAGGAGGACTCATTCCCAGCACCTCACACGGAGCAGCATCTGCAGGAAATTGCTGTTCCACTGATCACTTCTCGGGAACACTCCGCTCCCACCAGCTCTTCAGGCTAATACTGAGAAACCTCAAGACACGAACACCTCACGGGTAGCACTGTTATGCCATATGCTACTGGAAACCAGAGAGAATCTGAATTCCTCCCTTCTGCTCCACCGCACTCTGATAGCCACTTGCAACAAGTGCTCACACTGACTGTGAGCAGGAAGAGTATGCACAAAAATGGTAGCACTGCTGGTACTGTGTGTCTTGTGTGTAGGCACGTGGCAGGACCTTGAAGTAAATATCCAGCAGCATCTTGGTCCTGATATGGTCTTCTCCCTGGTGCTCCAGGTGAGGGAGCAACCCACAAAAAATAGCTTTAAAGGACTCAAACCCCAAACCAGCCTTCATCCTAAAAACAAAAGCGAAGCCCTGCCCAGGTTCACTTCTTGAAGCACAGAAGAAAGGATGGGTGATGGCTCATGGCCTGCAATCCCACGGTCTTGTTCCTGGAGAGTCCAGCTCCTGCCAAAGTGGGGTGGAGGCTACATTGACTGCAGTCCGCCCACACGCCATGGGACTTCTACATCAGAGGACTGCTCTTTGCTTCATTTGCTCCTGAGCAGCACCGAAGCACCATGAGATTCTTTGTGTCCATCAGACAGCAGAGCTATTGCTACCTTCTGCACAGTAAGCACAACCCCTGTGTGGGATCCCAGCCACGGCAGTTCAGCCTCGGTCAGCCAGAGCCAGGTCTGGGCAAAGCAAGTAACCCTCCAGCGGGAGCCCCCAAGAACCAGAGTCACTCATCTCTAGGGAGGCCCTTATCAATATACTTGAACTTTTTAAAATCACAGCGCAGGCTTGCTTTGCTTTTAGGAAGCAGGTGAAATCTGCAAATGTCTCAATGTATCTGAAGGGAACTTCTGCTGAGTAATTCTTCCTCAAATCAGTTTGCAGGAAAATGGCTCACTGGAGACTCCCACCTCACGTAATAGCATGCGGTGATCCACTGTCAAAAAGCACTTTCTGTTTTTTTCAGAGAGAAACTGACGAGATCACTCTCATTTTTTTTCTGAAATACATTTATTGTAAGTGTTTTTGGCAGTGCAGGAAGTTAACTTCAGAAAGGCAGCCTGAGTGATTCCACTGAGCCAAGCACCTTGATAGTCACTAGTTTCCCCTTCTTCCTTGTCACTTCCTCTTTTGGAGGCTTTTATTCATTTTAAAAATATAGCGTAAGACCTATTTAAAAAGGAAAAACACAGTTTTTGTGTGTGTTTTTTTTTTGTTTGTTTGTTTGTTTTTTTCTCCTGTTTTGAAACTGAAGCAGCTGCCAGCAGGCTGGAGTTGGAAACACCAGCTGGGGCTAGGAGGACGAGAGAATCACCAGGTGACCTAAACACCTTGAAAGGAGAGGTGCAACCTGCTTCTCCAGCTCATCGGACAAACACACGCGTAAGAGCGAGACCAAAGGGCAGTGGAAGAGGCAACACTGAACGAATATCCTTGAACCAGCCTGCCTCAGGGGTAGGTGTGCTGCATCCAGGAAGGCATAAGGGCAAGAGGCCGTGGGGTCCGAGCCCTGTCCTCCTCCTGCAGGAGCCCTGCAGATCCTGGTAACTCACGGCGATACCCACGATCCTGCTGCTCCCCTGTGCCGTGCCCGCCTGCGTGCCGCGCCAGTCTCCTGCCCCGAGGCAGAGGCTCACCAGCAGCCAAACACTGCAAACAGGACTGGTTCAACATCCCCGCAGGAACGGCTCTGCACACCCACACAAGGAGACGGCGATGTTCGGTCAGGTGCCAAGCCCTGTCCCTCTCTGTCCTTGGCTCAGCGCCTCGCTCGAGTGTGCACGCAGCTCCTCTCGTGAGTCAGCAGCCGTCAGCTCCAGCCCCGTGCAGGAGGATTTGTCAAGGCTGTAAGGTCCTGCTCTCTGCAAGGAAGGTCCTGGGCCAAAGGCAGCACCAGGACCCCTCACCACAGGTGGAGGGGTGAAGCTGCAACTGGAGTGGAAGGGCAGCCTCGCAGCAAGAAGCAGAGTCCCAAGCCAGCGAGGTGAACAAGAGGAAAGTTTGAGAACCAGTCTGCCAGGGAGACAGACACTGCCCGCCCTTGATGCACTTTGCCACAGGTCCAAGTGGGGGATAAAAACCTTTCTTGCATAAGAAATGAGGAAGGGAGAAGCTTCAGGGCAAGCTGAAGGATTGAAGCAGGGACCCAAAGGGAGCCCCCAGCACCTTCAGTCCAGAGACAGCTGCCATCCCAGGCTCCATACCATGCAGGGCACCTGGGCTCCCAGAGAAATGCAGGGCCTGCTTGGCTGCTAAAGCAAATCGGATAGAAAAGCAAACAGGAACTGCCAGCAATGCTTTGACTCCCTGATTTGATTTGGGTTTTCACTTCACATTACAGATGCCCGGCCCTTCTCCCCTGCACACCTCCCTGGCGCCACTGTCCTCACTGCTCCAGGAGCTGCTGTTGCAGGAACCCTGCTCCACATTTCTTCTCCCTGCCCAGTTGGGCAATCAGCAAAGCTCTTGTCAGAGGAGAAAGCAGCTATTGTCTGCTGAATTACCCGGACATATCGGGTGCAATAACTAAATATTTTGCAAGACCTGATCCTGTTTCTGCGCAGATCTGGTTTAGATGAGGGCAGTTTTCACCAGCTTCTGAGGTCAGCAGAACATTTGTGGAAGTGATTACTCAAGCCAAGGAGAAGTCCTCCAATCTTGTACTGATCAGTAGTTCCCACAACTCACATTATACGCACCCAGCAAGGGACGTGGTGTCCCTCAACAGCCCGGCAAACACCATCCCCATCAGAAATGGCACAGGGATGAGGAGCTTGGTTTCCCACCAGGCTCCCTCTTTCCCCATCCTGCTCCCTGCCGATGCCAGCTCCTGCTCCTCCCTCTTCTTGCTGTGTTGAGGCACAGCCCCATGCCTCGCACACAAGTAAAGCCACTGAAAGACCTGGCAAGGGGAATCAGGCCCACGTTGCTGTTTCAAGGCAGATCTGTATCTGAAGGAACATGCTGGACTGCAGCCTCTCCACCTGCTACATTCGCAGTTGTGTTTGCAGACACGCATGTTTTGAGAGGAAAGTTCATCCTCAAGCCAGAAATTCATTAGGGCAGCGTTGAGCTAGTTAGGATGATAGCAATCTGCTTTGGCCAGCTCAGTCTGGGCTGAGATGCTGTCTGAAAAGGACTGAAAAATTCATTTGAATTCATTTAACAAGTGGGAGAATTTTCTGCAGCGATAACAATTAGCTTTCCTCAAAGTGTACTTCAAAATGCTAGGCAGCTGCTGGAAGGGAAACCCCTTGATACATGACATTTAAGTAGAAGACAAGACTCCAGACACAACACCTCCTGCTCGTTGGAAAGGACTCCAGGAGCATCCCACCTGAAGGTTACCTGCAGGTGTGCAAGGAGAATACTGCTTCCTGGTCACAATGAATTGCAGAGGGAAATTCCAATTTCTTCCCCTCCTTTCCTTCTGCTAAAGCCTACCTGTCAAAGCTTTGCCAGGAAAATCACTTTGGGGATAAATGCCAACTGTGACTTTAGTAGTTCCTGAGCTTTTTAGAGAGGCTCAAAGATCAACCCCAGGAAAGATATATCTGATAATAAGAAACTACGGATTCCTGCTCTCCAGCAATAGAATCGCTGCTTTCACCACATATGAGATAAGCAACTCTGAGCTGTGAAATGTCTCGTTTTATGTGGAAACAAGGCATTGCCCTAATACATATAGATCGTGGGCAAGACTTGAAATGGCTTCAGTGGGCTTGCCACATAGCCTTGTCACAAAGCCCACTGAAATCAAAACATTGACTCCAGTCTTGCTTCTCATCACACGCAGCTTTAAGTAGCTGGGAGCTCAGAGTCTACCTTAACCACAGAAGACACTCAGGGATTTGCTGCCCTCTCCATCCTCCACCGTTTAAAATGCCATTAGGCACCTTCCCACTGCTGGGGATGTAAGCAGCCACTCTTGTATCCAGCCCAGAACTAATGGGGGTTCATTTCAGAGCTACGCACAACAGCCTGCTCTAAATGAGAGGTCACAAGTGGACAGGATTTCCAAATCTTGCTGTGTCAGCATCCCTACATACTCATAACCTGCCTTCCTCCTTAATCTACTTCAGTCACAACACAGTCATTCAAAGAGTTTAAGTAGCCAGATGGGGCTGCTTTCATCCCCGGCGGGGTGCAGATAACAAGCCGTTTTGCTGGCAGATCTAGTCGGGGCTTCGCGTTGCCTTCCTGCCCTGAGCATTTGTGCCGAGGGCAAACCCTCAGACACCCGGAGGCAGCTGCTTGCTGCAGGCGGGTGGGTTGTGCCTGGGAAACGCTCGCAGGGATCTCTTCACAGGACACCAGGAAGGTCTGCCACTTGATCAGCTGCCTCCATCGGGCACAGCAGCCATAATGATGGTGCTGTCTTCCTTTAGCACAGCTGAGTGAGGGCGAACTTGCCTTAAATTAAAAAGGAGCAAGCAATATAGCTTGGCCAGCTACTCAAAGAGAAGAAAAAACTGCTGCCTCTGAAGAAGCAACCAATTTATAGCCCAGCTGCTGCTCATTCAGTTACAGCTGTTTTGAGGTTATAGGCTCTTTTCTGCAAGACTCAGATGAGAAGTTCACTTCTAACATTATAAAAAGCTGTGAGCTGTGATGTGGGTATTTTATCTAAGCTGGGCAAGGCACTGACAGAGATCTAAGAGAAAGGGGGCTTTCAGCAAGCAGAACTTCTCCTTTTCCACTGGTGCAACAGAAACATTTGGAAAAGGCTTAGAGAAATGATATTTTTAAATACACTCGAACATCAACCGAACCGAACATGCATCTCAAACCGCAGTCTGGAGGCACACAAGCAATAGATGAGCCCTCACTCCAACAAATACAGCTGCAGGACAACAATCAACACATGTTGGTTATCCAGGCAAAGGGCACCACAACACTGACTGTGTGTAGAAGAGCCTCTTGGTGGAAATGACCACACAAGAATCGATCATATAAGCATATGCATAAAAAAAATACATATGGAAAGAGGATGAGAATAGTCAGACTACCTTAGACTAGCTTTGGGCATCTAACTTGGGTGCTTATACCAGCCCTGGGTGCTAAGCACAGTATACAGAAGGCAATTCAGATCCCTGGAGCCTGGGTTCAGGATGTGACCCCAGGCAGGCTGCCCGCCTGCACCCCCAGCCCAGCAGCCACCTTGAGTGCCCACAGAGCATCACATCTAACCAAGGCTGCAGGGCACAACAGGAAGACAAATAGCACCCAGGCCCAAAGAGCTTACCATGCAAGTAGGGCAGTGGCTGCAGAAATAAAAGGCACGCTGCTTACTGCAGCTTGCAGTAGAGGACCTGAAAGCAGAACCTGCTGACCTGAGGTCTGTGCTGAGAGGGCCCTCCCCAGGGTCCTGCTCTGCACCTCCACCCACCCCACTTTGCCAGCCAGGAACCCCTCCAAAGGAATACCAGCAGCCCATGTATTTGACTGCTTTTCCACATGCTGAGACCCCGTCTCAGCATGAAGAATGCAACATGAAGCAGTGCTACTGGACTCAAAGCCAGCTGCAGCTGATCTTGCACTCCCCACCAAAGCACGACCTCTCTGTGCACGACACGAGCAGGAACAGGCACTTAATTGTGAGCAGCTTCAGAGGAGCACCAGCCGCCTGGCACAGCACCTCTGCAGAGAGGCAGAGCTCCAAGCACATGCTTCCACCCTGCTTTATGGAAGGTGAGACTGACCTACACCTTGAGGCAGCCACCAGCCTCAGTTCCTCTCTGGGACACACATTGCCTATTCTGATTTAAGTAATGGATATCAAGCGTTGGACTGCAGCCAGAAAAGCCTGCTGAAGAGCCTTCATTTCAGGAATAAACATTATTCTCTCTAGGCCATCAGCTGCATTTAAGCCACCTGGTTACAAGGGAAGGATTCATTATCAATACCCAAATTACCTGCTGGCATGTGCAAGTCTCTTTTTCATCTCTGCCCTGTATACACACAAATACAGACACACCATCAGAGAACCTTTCCGCCACTCCCAGCAGCACCTGAAGGTTGAGCTTGCAGTCAGCAGTCACAACAAGCAATACTCAGCACGCACTTATCCACCATCGCCACCTCCAAACGTGTGCAAATCTGCAAGGCTGCTATCTCCCTGTCTGTGAGCCATGGCCTGGCACCACCACACTGTGCAGGAGGGGTGGACACAGCGTAGATGGTTGGCTGGCCACCTCCTGAGCAGGACACCGCACCCACTGCTAGGGTGCAGGGCGAAAGAGAGGGGCAGAAGGAGACTGCTTGGCTCATCTGAGCCAGAGTCTCCCATGGTGACAGAAAGGACACCAGGGGGAACATGGCGTTGACACTGATGAGCACCAAGTCAGCTTAATCCCCCCACAAGCCGCTTAACAGTAGGATTGTTGCTGGAGCACCTGCAGGGCCTCCAAGTGTGCCTGAAACAGAGGACACCAGGGTTTGCCACGACATCCAGGACCATTTTTCTGCTGCTATTGTGAAATGAGGACCTGAAGGAGTCGATGGAGATCTGCTGTTTCACTGCAGCTGAGAAAGCAGACTTGTGTTACTAAAGGTCTGCTTTTCTCACACAAACGCTTTATGTGATAAAACTTCTCATTAACTACATGGCAAATGCGATGGGAAGACTCTTCTGCTAATTATTTCTATGGCTTTAGGCAACAGAATAAAATCAATATGTACCAAGAAAACAATTGTTAAAGAACCCTGGCAACTTGGGCTGGGATGTAAATTAACAGCATGGTGGTAGATGGGAACGTCTTCACAAGTCAGGACGAGGGTGGGACCAGGCCTCAGCTGCGTGGTGCCCACCAAAGCCTCCTCTGCTTCCTCCACGAGGCCTTGCCACACACAGGTCCTGCATCCTCCTCCTTCTTTGGGTCTCCCTGCAGCACCTGATAATGCCTCCCAGATAGCGTAGAAGTAATGAACTGCAGTGTGCGGGACAGGAAGGATCACTATGAAATGGCACGTATGCAAAGATGAAGCCCTCGCTGAGGACTCCACCAACAAACACAAATGACATGTGGAGCTGCTGCCTTTCTCCTAAAACATGCACCAAACCTCCCCAGCACCACACACCCCAGCAGGCATGAGCAACCATGTCCTGGGCATCTCAGGCCATGCCACACGGAGCACAGTACAAGCCACTCACCTCTCCCCAAAACCTCAGTCCCTGAGCGAAGCACCATCCAAAGTAGGAAGGCTGTGACAGGGACCGCAGAGAGCAGCCACATCTGCTGTCAGATCAGATTCTGCAGGATATAAGCCAGAGACACGATTTTTACAGAGATGAAAGGATGTTTTGTTGTGAAGCAAGGCTGCTAAATGCAGCCCCAAGCTGCAGTCAAGCTGCAGTCTGAGGCCAACGATTTCTTGCACCCCTCAAAGTTCATCACCTGCCTCCCGTGCACAAAGCCCCTTTAGTGGCCAAGTCCCCTCCATGACTGAACTGTATAATGAAAAAATGCATTTAAACTTTTTTGTATTCATCTGATTCTATCTTGTTTTCAAAATTAAAGACAACCTGAGCAGAAAAAAGAAAAAAAAAAAAAAAAAAAAAAAAAAAAACGAGAATCATGTTGTAAATAGAGTAACTGAGGAATGGGCAACTGCAGAAATAATGTCCCAAGAACCTGACCAGAGACCTCTACCATATAACAAAACTGTTTTGAAGCACAAGATCTTCAGAAGCAGAACAAGTTTCACAAAATGCTCGCTTATATTCAAGAGCAAAGTCTATGCTAGGAGTTATATTGCTTTAACTCTATCAGAATGGCCAAAAGAAGGAAAAATGATCTTAGCAACTGTGCAACTACATTGACGTAAAACTGCTCATTATTTCTCACCGGGGAATAAGTTTCTGGATTAAGTAACACTGGTATGAAACTAACGCTTGCACTGCGCAGCTCTGTGACCCCTTGTTAACAGTGCACAAGCAAGGGAAGACCAGATCTAAGGACTCAAAACCTAGGAATTTGTAATTTAGGACCCTCTGTTGTGTTGAGCCTAATTCCATCATCCTGGGATCCACTTTTAAAAAGGCACTGAAAGCTTAGCTACAGCTGGGCACCCAAAAACTGAGCCAGCCTAGGAGTTCGGTACGTTGGGAAGCCTCAGTACGTTAGCTTTGTTTGTAGGCCGCGGAGTTAGTTTCATTGATCAGAAGGCGAGATAGCGATTTGAAAAACAAAACCACAACCACTTGTTAGCTGTAAGCTCCTTCACATACGCTGCATTAATTCAAATGCGAATTAGGCCGATTAGACATGGAAATACAGCCCCAGCGCCCGGTGCTGGCGGAGCAGCCTTGGCTTCCAGGCTCCCCGTCGAGTCAAGCCCCGTCCTGCCGCGTTCCCATGCCAAGCTGGCAGCGACCCGCTGCTGCCAGCAGATAACGCCGGCTGCTGCACGAGAAGGCGCATGCAGAAGGCATGTCTGGCAAGTAGGCTCTCATGACTAACATTTTGTTTCTGCGATAACATGCTAGGCCACCTACACAACTAGCCCTCGGAATAAATACTTTGCTGCACGGGTTCCCATGAGCAGACTGATGGAGCGCTAGATAAACTGCTGTCGCTCTCACAGTGGTTTGCTAGGTCTGGATTATCTTCCAGATCTCACACACCGCTCTTGCAGCACTGTTTTCTATTGGTATTAGTTTCTTTTTTTTTTTTTTTTTTTTTCAGTCAGTTCTACTGCTCCATTATCCATTGTTATTATTTCAGACTGTTCCTTGAAACCTGTGTTCATACAGCACGTAGCACGTAGCTCCTCCATGGGTGAACACTGCCCGGCAGCTGATGGCACGGTGGTTTTCGTCCCTGGGCCATCACAGCCCTGGATTTGCCAGCCAAGGGCCAGTACCTGGTGGCCACACTGTCCAGGCACATGAGGACCATCCTTCCTCACCAGCCAGCCACCCTACGCACAGCCCAGCTCCTCCTGGCATCCCCACCATCACGTTGTTCTCTCAGGAGGGGGCTCAGCACATCGCTGAGCTCCCAAAACACCCACACGAGCACAAACTATGGTAGCAAAGACTGGATAGCACTGTGAAGCCCCATTCCATTAGGCCACAAACACCCATCTTGCTCAGCAGACAGGTCTTCTAAACCAAATGTTCCACAGCCCCCAGCCAGTGAAGACACTCCCCACTTCCTTTCCACCTTTTCCTTCCCTCCCAAAAAATCTCAGACCAATGTGTTTTGAAAGGCATATCCCATGTGTCTTTACTGTCATCACATGTCAACAACAGCATTTACAGATTCCAAATCTTCAGCAACAGGAGTTTCTTGGCATTCAAATATAAGATTATAGGCTTGTTCACAGGAGTGAATTTACATCAAAGCGAGTCTTTGGCGTGACTGCATTACCTGGCACAAAGTAGGCATGTCCAACAGATGGCTTTTCCACCAGCACAAGTCATTGCTCCCATTTCCTGTGCGTGATGCTCTCACCTTTGTGGGCGAGTAACCTATTCATCGCTGCTAGGCCCTGAGCACTGCAGGATCAATTCTGCAGCTCATGATGGGCAAGCTGGGAAAAGCTACGCAAAAATCACCCTGCCTCACATCAGGGGCCACACCTCTGAAAAAGAGGGACTTGAAAATCCACCCTCACCAGGTGCCATGGAAAGACAACACAAGGAAGCTCAGCACAGAGTAGGGATGGGAGACCCAGGACTACGACTGCGTCTAGGGACGCAATCATGGCACCATCACTTGCATGGCAGGAGCCCACCCTCTGAAATGCACCACATATTTGCAAAACCCTACAGGAGTTTGGGGAAATTGTGTTCCTAGTGCCAGCTGGACAGGCCAGCGGATAACCGGGGCAAGGTACACCAGAGGGACCAGTCCTAGAGAGCAAACTGAGAGGAGCAGCTTTCTCATCAGATTTCCCAATGCCTGTCATTGCTCGGTCAGCGAGGAGGGCACATAGCCGCCTGCATGTCTCTCAGCCACCAGCACTCACAGAGGCCAGGCACTGTGCTGAAGCCTGGGTGGACCACCACAGCAGCCACAGGCAGCTTTATTTCTCAGGGATCTTTAAACCAGAACCACCTCATCGCTTTCTTGTTTGTACGAGGAACCTCCTTCGCCCCATATCTTTAATTAAGAGGCCTGTGTGTTGGTTTTTTTATACCATGTGGTAGCTTTTATCTAACAGGTATATGTAAAAAGCATGCCTGGGGAAAATCATATTCATGGGAACAAACTTAACAAAGCCACTTTAACCCGGCTGCTTTTTTAAGAAGCACCCCAGGGCAATCCCTTGAAGATATTTATGCTCCTATGGTGAGTTAGAGGCTTCTGAAGACTCCCACTAGTCCCACTTCCCTTTATTCTCCTGGGTACAAGCACTGGGAAGCGCCACTGTCCCTTTTCTCTCAGACGAGGGCATTCATGACAAGCTGCTTTAAAGCAAGAGGATGAGCTCCACCCTGCAAGCTGCTGAGCATCACCACGCTCCCTCACAGCGCCCAAGGAGCACTCCAGCCAGCCCAGGGGCTTCCAGCAAGATTGTGAAATGCTCCCAGGACCTGAATATCTACCTAAAACACTGCTGACAAGGCACCTCACAGGCCAGATACACACTGCAGGCTTTTGCCAGAAGAGCTGTCAGTCAGGGACCAGGATGCCTGGCTGACCCAAAGCGTGCTGTGAAGCAAAACACAGCCCTGGCAAAACCTGGGGGTAAAGAAAGTCTAGGTTAGGGCTGAAGATGGAACAAGTATGGGCATTGGGTTTTTTTCTGCAGTATTTCATCATTCTTTTTTGGATAGCATCAACGTGCAATATCATTTCTAGACTGGATTTCAGGTTCTGTTAAAAATCTGTAGAAGCTACCTTAAAAGCTTGGTCTATATCCTGCTGAAGTCAGCATCAAAAGGGTTTCCCAAAAGGATCAGCCTCTTCCAAAAAGGCCCAATACCTCAGGCCCATCCTTTTGTGGGGAAAAGACCCATCACAAAAGGAGGATCAGGCACAATCATGGTGACGGCACAGTCCTGTTGCCAATTATGCCAGCTGTAAGTGCTCAGGAATTATTAGTAACTAGCCCCTTCCCTCTCCCCCACATCAGTCTTTCCCATACCAGCTGGGGTGAAACAACAATAAAAACAACAAAAAACAATCCCCGCAAGGCTAGTTTATAAATTCAAGACTTTAAGACCAAAAAAAAACAAAACCCAACAACATCTGGATGGTTTCCCTTCAGGTGTCTAAGCGAGGGGAGTTTTCCAGCCACAACCCCACATGTTTTCATGCTTTCACCGCAAGCTCAAGGGCCAATTCATCTCCCTCTTGCTGGTGGGATGGTGCACAAGGCTGCGCTGCAGCTGACACCCTGGGCTACAGCTTGCAAGGGAACGAAGATGAGCAACATAGCCCAGTGCACGTCCTGTGACCCAACCACAGAGGCTGGCAAAGCCCTGCAGGGCTCCCCAGCTTATTTTTGCCCTCTGTAGATGTGGAACCGGCTTGCAAAACCAGGGATCTGTGCTGCCCATGAGATGGTAGCGTGACCAAAATGGGTGCTCTGCGCTGGGCCTCGAGCCAAGGCTACAAACAGCCCCAGCCCACAGATGTTCATACTTGTGCTCCCATATCCTTGCTGCATGTGGCACCAGGCTTTCTCTTGAGGCACAAACATGTTAGATGCAGCTTCCAGTCAGACCCACTGTGCTTGTGACTGCTCCTGATGCTTTTCTGATTGCAGCATGGTAGGAAGCAGAGAGAGGAGGCAGGAGCCAAAGCTTTCTCATGGCTGACAGGTGGCAGAGCCTGCCCAGCTGCCTCTGTGCACAGAGACGGGTGCCCGCAGTGGGAGCAGCCACCCTGCATGTCCCTGCAGCCCCAACAGTCACATCCCCTTGCACATCATTGGTGGGAAAGTGAACCAAGGAGCACTGAGCATCATCATTATTTTCCTGGGCCTCATATATGATGCAAACATGAATGGCCAAGGTCACTCCCTTTGGCTATTTTTAAGCAAGGTTCTGTTTATGCAGCCGTGATGCAGTGGTCTCACCATTGGCCCAAAATGCACATACTTCTAACATGACCAGGCACAGCAAAAACAATCCCATTGAGCCCTTTGTGTTGCTAACACCAGAGGAAAATTCCTGGAAAGGCAAACAGACCTCATAGGAGGGCTGGAGAATCTGCTGGTGCCACCCTGCCACCAGGTGAGGAGGTTTCCAGACCAGATTACCAAAAACACAAGTGCATAATGGCCAAACTGTTTTTATTTTTGGTTGGTTGGTTGTATTTTTTACAATGAAGGTGGAATGAGACTGTTGTTGTTGTTGTTATTTTTATTATTTTTGAAAAAATAGTGTTTCCAGGAAGATTCAGGAGCTCCAGTCTTACAGCAGACTCCACACCAAACAGCAAGATGTGTCTGTCCCCAGGAGCTGCTGAGCTCATCCCACAGCACACCCGAGCAGCCCGAAGCAGCACAGATAAAATCACTGATGCATGTCCTCATGTTCTGCCACCAGCTTGTGCTGTCTGGAACAAGCATCACAGGGCTCAATCTCCTCAGACAGACAGACAGACACTGGAGCCTAGCTTGAGCCATACTTTTAGCTGGGAACAGAGAGGCAGTATTCTGAATCACACATCCCAAGCATTTTACACTGTAAAATACCTCCAGCCCAGCGCTGCGCATTTAAAAGCTGGGCTACTCTGAGCTTTCGTATCAAAGGGCAACGCTGATGGGTGAGAGGCAGAGAAGTGCAGCAGAGAGGTAAATAAAGGGAAAAGCCTTAAGAGGTTCACAGCTGCCCTGATATAAAAGAATCATCTTTCACGCTGATAAAAATAATGTTACAGGCTCTGATAAGGATAATCTCCCGGGCTCTGATAAGAGTACAATAAGAACAAGCCTTTTACAATGCAGCATTATTGAACCACAACCCCATCCTGCCCAGAAATACCCTTTCTAGATGCCGCTGCCTTTTGTTCACCAGCAGCAAAAGCACTGGGAAGGACTGCTCTAGCTTTCCTCCCTGTCTAGAAAATTTGAGCAGCACAGCCAGGAAAGGACTCAATGGGCTCCACCCTATTGAATATGGAGCAATTCGCTGCAAAGCAACTAAAGCATGCAAATAATTGCATTGACTTCAAATGAAATTATTCCTATGTTTAAGTGCTCTACTGAATCAGGGCCAGGGTGCTCGGCATGCTGGAGTATCAAGTCTCAAATGTTTTGGAAGGCTTTAAGTGAGAGGGAATGGTTTGGGAAATAGGGGGGAGGAAAGTGGGAGGGAAAGGAGTTCTCCTACTGAATAATAGGCCAATTATTTCTGTGGAAGTTTTTGATGGGTAAGAATAAAGAAAATAAGAATGATGGAAGGTCTGAATCTCTTTGGATGTTTGTGTTAACTGTCAGGTACTACCTCGTATCCACGCTGACCCAGAAACTGGACCAGCTGTACAGTTATGAAATTGATTTAAGAAATACATCCTGTATGAGCCTATGTGCACAATGCAACCTGCTTTCCCTCTGTATTTCTGTAGCATTACAAGAATGCACTGAGCCAGCCTACTGCTCTTGAAAGGATGGATGCTAAAGATGCCTGAAATTCCAAACGTCACAAGCTGAAGATAGCAGAGGGTTGGTTTTTGTTTGTTTGGTTGGTTGGTTGGTTGGTGGAGCTTAAAGCCCTGCTCCTTGGACCCAGCTGAGCAGGAGCACCTACCCATGCGGGTGAGGGCCACCTGTAGTACCAGTGTCAGTGCAGGTACCCAAAGGCAGGCACAGAGCTGCTTTGCTGGCTCAGTCACGTCCACATTGGCAGGCACAGGGACAGCTCTAACAGAGCCACTGGCTTGGCAGGACAGAGTAAGGAAAAGCTCCACAGAAATGCCCGCAGTGGCCACTGCTGCTTGCAAGACAGGCGTTTGGCTGCAGCCACCCCGGTGTCCTGCGGGTAAAATTAAGGAAAATGAGAGAGGAGTATGGAAAGCTGTAGCCTCAGCTTTATGCTGGAAGACCAGGAGTGTCCTTTGCCACATTATGCTCCTACAGGCCCTGTCCCTAGGACCTGGACGTACCAAGCGGCTCGTTCCAAACCTCTCCCAGCACAGCGCTGACTTCCCGTCCTGACAGCAGTACATTGCGCTTCTCACGTCTGATCTCAGTTTATTCCAAAAGCAACAGATGAAAGCCGGTGAGCATTAAAGTAAATAGGAGTTTTGCTTTCAACCACATTTGGAGCAGAATTTGACCCAGAATTAAAAGGACACTTTCTACTCGGGATCCAGCAGGTTTCTGATGCTGTTCCAGTAGCTCGAGGAGGCACACCTGCTCTTGGATCTGCATGGCAATTTCTGTGGTTTGGCCACTGAGGGTGGTTTTATATTATTTTTAAGCGCTACCATTAAAAACAAGGCACTTTTTCTTCTCTTTTCCCTCCACTTTGTATGTTTTGCAAAGAGCTTGGGCAGAACCAAATAACCACGCAGGTGAAAAAAGCTGTACAGAAAATATTCTCAGTGTTGTGTGCAGGCAATTCCTCCTGCAGCTGTTCGGGATGACTGACCCAGCCTCAGCCTCTCACCCAGGGCCCCTTTCCCCAGCCACCAGCCGCTGGGGACCGACCCCAAGAGAACCAACCATGCATGGTGCACTCCCTGAGGGCCTCACAGGCCTGCAGGCTATGCCTCAGCCTTGCTCCTGACAGGAATTGGGTGGCTGTGGGTGAAGCCTGGCCAGCAGACCCTGCCAGCTTTGCCACCCACCCATGTCCCCATGGCGCCTGGCACACAGGGAGGCTGAGACCTGGCCCTGACGTGGGCTGTGGCTGAGCCCTCCGCATCGCTCATCCCCAGGGTACAGCCACCGCATAAATAACATCGGATGGCCTTTGCTGTGAATGACCAAACCAGAAGGGAACTCAATGAAAACATTGAGAAAAACACATAAAACCACCTCGAGCGCTATGAGGCAGCCGTTACAGCAGTTTTCCATGAGTATTGCCAATGGTGCGGAGAACTATTCCAGTTCAACTCGGGGTGAGGGAGAGCATAGTTCATGATGAAATGATTATGTAGGATGTGCTGAGAGTTAGGCCAGTATGTAAAGAGAGACTTTAAGTCAGTGAATGTGATTTTAATATCATAGTTTTGGTCAATAACAAAAGCGTGTAGAGCGAACACATGTGAAATGGTGCTCGGACAGATCCCCAAAACATGGTTTCTACACAGACGTGGGTGAAAAACCACACAGGGTTAAATCAGAAAAAGGGCCACAGGCAGGAGTATTTCACTTCAAAAGAGATTAAATGTCCCTTTCAATACAGCCTACTTACAACGGGACTCCAGCACCAGGGGGATTTTCAGCCCTGTCTGCCACCAGGATATTGGGAGCAGGAAGAGCTGAGCAGGCCGTCCCTGCCCAGGAGCTGACTGCACGGCTGAAATTGGACCCTGCTATTTGCGTCATCACCAAACAATTAGTAAATGCTTCAGGTAACTCAGGCCATTCCCCAATGCTTTTGAACACGTTTGTGGCCGGATAAGGACTGTCACATCCCTGGTGTCAACACGGCGGCTTTGCGGTGAGCTCTGGCACATCAGCAGGGCTCTCTGCCTGGGAGGCTGGTAAAGTTGGCAAAGCACAGCTGTGGGTGAAGCACCCGCAGCTTGCCAATGCTCATGCTGGTCTGTAGGAATAATAGCACAGGAGTTGCTCCCAGATCCAGGCGAATTTTTGGCCCTTCAGCAATCAAAGTGGCTAAAAAGCTATGTCTTGGTGTAGGAAGAGCAGTAACATAACAAAATTGGGGCCATTGCAGAAAGTGCTCTGACATTTTCTACAGTTTTCATGATTCACCCTGTATCCAAAGGGAAACATTTCTATTACGTGTTGAAAATTGGCTGATCCACATAACATCTGCGAGATGTGTTTCCTCTCTGTCTGGCTCAGCAGCTCTCAGTGCTTCATTGCTCCATCAGTGGATAGATGCATTGATGACCACAGAAATCAGTTGTCCTCTCAAAGAAAGCTTCAGATCCCACTTTAGCCTGAAAACAGAGGCAAGTGTTTTTAAATCAGATATATAGGCAATTTTTCATCCAATTTCAAAAACAAAGAAGGAAAAGATAATATTACTGCCACTTCCACCAGTTCTTTTAAGATAGACTTTGGTAGTCCAAATCAGAATTCACCATCTCCACTAGCAACAAATACTTGTAACCTTTTTGCTGGGTCAGGTTTTGCAATAATTTTGCACTTTTCTGCAATAAGGGAACCCCCCAGCCACACACACCAAGACACATCACAGAGAGGTGTAGAAGAGCCATTTGGAAGATTTTAGGTGTCAGGTGTGGCAGTGAGTTACCACACCAGATATAGAGGTATCACCATGCATGAAGGACATGCAAGGGGCACGGGTACACAAGGCAGCCTAAGGACAGCAGCTCTCAACAGGTGGAAAGCACCAGAACTTACAAACAAGAGTTTTTCAGGAATTATTTTTTTCCTCAACAACAAACCTTCAGAAGTTCACAAGGAGACCAACTCCAGTTCATGTAAGATTTTTTCAGCCCAAACCCACAGCTTCCCATTAAAAATTATATACCGTTATCACAGCCAAAATAGCCAGAATCACTGCTATAAATGTGTGGAAGAGCTAGTCAAACACTGTTTCAAGGCTTAAATAGTCCTAACTATTAGTTTGACAGTCAGCTGAGCTCAAAGGCAAGATAATCACTGACTTTCATGGGTTTTGGATTAGGTCTCTAATAGACCTTGGCATCTGCTGCCTTGTTTACAAACAAAACCAGGAAAAAAAAATCCTCCTAAAACAACAAGACAGGCAAAGGAATACAAACACTAGAGAGCTGGAAGGGAGACCAACTACTTAGTAACACCACCATTATCCAGTAATCATGACCAGAAAAAAAATAATTGTTATTAATGTGCACATATTAATTCTAGATGCCTCGTACATGTAATCCTTAGATGTTTTCAATGGATTAAATCCACTACTTATGTAATAGTCTGGAGGTGAGTGGAGCTACACCCACCGTGGTTTGGGTTCCACCTGTTTTTAGGTAAGCCCTGACTTCCCTCTATTCTGCATATCCCTCTTCCAGGAGCCAGAATGTGAAGACAAACTGTTTGTTTTCCTTGCTTTACCATCTCTAAGCTATATTGTCATAACATTCAGATGCAATTCCAAAAGGCAGCACAACCATAGCAAATAGCCAGGATGGAAGACTGTGCCAAGCAGGCTTGATGATCCATAAGCCACACGTGCAAACATGCATTTGTTTTAACAGATAGCCAGGGTGTATTATAGGGGGGTAAAAAAAAAAGTATTTCTGTGGCATATATGAAAGTTTTAGAGACAGCAGAGGCATTTGAAGCAAATGTAAGTCCCTGTTAAGAAACACAAAACGGACATTGCATGTGTATTTTCAGACATGGATAGTTCAACTTTCATTCTGCGTATCAGAACAGGGCTTCTGCTGTTTGGATTTTACTAGTCAGGATATCCTCAATATCTTGTCTTTTTACGCAGAGTGGTGCGGTCTGGTATGCAGCAGTATGAGTACTTGGCCTCTTGAATTACCCAATGTTCCTATTGTCTATAAGGGACAAGAAGTCCCCTTTCACTCAGTTCAAGCAAATTATCAAGGGAGAAGGCGTTCTACATGCAGTCTCAAAGCTCTTGTGTACCTTTGCTGCTTGCTGTGAGCCTACAGCTAAAGTCAGTGTAGGCAAATATTTTTCCATCCAAGATTTTTTTTTTCCATTCAATGGCCATAGGCCGTTAGCAAACCACGTCAGTTTTGGGAATTAATCCCTGCCAGAAATGAAGAAGGGCATGAAATGCTGGGAAGGGGAAGGCTCTAATCAGAAGAAAATCTCTCAAAATAAAAAAATATATATATAAATAAATAAATAAAATAAAAAGGAAATGGTGAGCAACTGGCTATCTTAAACTAATCCAAATATCAGTGAAGCATTCAGTGCTTCCTCTTCCTCTAGATAAGGCTGCATACTGACACCAGAGAAACAGACCCTTAAAAATTGCTTCTTATCAATTTTATTGTCATAGTGTCTGGCCTCGAGGAAGTGATGGAAGCAAAAAAGGGAGCCAGAATTTGTTTTATAACCTATCATTTCTCGTTTCCGTTTTCCATCTGTGTCGTACACAGGGCTGAGAGGAGTCTACATCAGCAAGTGACACTGGAGTACCCCTGGAACGATGACAAGCGTTGGTTTGAAGTTAACACTTGAAGTTCCAGCAAGCTGCCCTAATGAATGAAAACAAGCAAACAAACAAAAATGTTCAGTTAAAGACTTTCCATGAACACACAGACCCTGGTCCTACTTTTATTAGGAACTTGCTGCTGCAATCCAGATGGAAAGGCAGCTGTCAACCCGGGGCAGCAGCCTCAGCCTCTCCTCGGGGCAGCACAGCCTTCAGGGCTCTTTGGGGAGCATCAGCATTTTGGGCACCCCATCTTGCTCAGCTGATGCCGCACTCCACTGGCAGACCTGGCTGCACTGCCCTTGTCTTTACTGTCTTCAATTGACTTACTCACATTAATTGACATTACTCAAGGTCTGGGTGTAGCTTGGATTCATTGTATAATAACGTTCCTTTGCCATTCCAGCTGTTATGCAGAACCCAAATATTTAACTGACTGCACATTGTTTCAGCTAAACAGTTGACAGAAGCATCCACTGCAGAGCACATATGGGGCTTATTCCTAAATCATACAAGAGTGGTTTTTTTTTGTTTGTTTGTTTTGTTTTTTTCCTCCCCTGGACGGATCCCATATGTTGTCCAGCTGCAAAACCAAACACTGAGAATCAGTCTAGTAAATGGATGTGCAGCAAGTCAACAGTGCACAAACTCCTAAGGCTAATAGGGAATTATTCCGAATAGGCAGAAATTAGTTTGATTTACACTAGGGTGAGAATTCTTATAAGTCACCACTTTGCTCTAAAGCTGGAGAATAAGGTCAAGCCATCAACTATCCTTGTTTGCAGATTCATCCAGCAACACTGATTTTGACAGTGTGGAAAGAACCTGGAACAAGATCACATCTCAGTTGCTCAAAATGTAAAAATCTCACCCTGCAAGACACAGCTCGAGATCCCATGTTCCATGATTCACCCCACCTACGAATAACATTGGCTCCATCCAAACTATTCCAGCACACCAAACAAAACCATGACGTGCAGTCAATTGGAAGAGCCAGCATTGCAACGCAGTGAAGCAGCCTGCCGTTTCACTGGTCAGCCAGCTCGTGTTTCTGACACATCTTTCTGAGGCCTCTACCTAACCCGTACATGGCAGCTTTCCCAAATTTTTCCTACAAGAGCAGAGAAGGGGAAGGCCTGCTGACCAAGCCGAAATCTGGCACCTAGGCTTTGTGCAAGAAGCAAAGCAGAGCCCTGAATTCTTACAAAGCCACACCAGGGGTGGCACAAAGCACACTGCCATACTGCTGCCTGCCATCCCCACCACCTGCGGCACCCAAACTCGACCTGTGACACCCTGAGGCACCCAAACACTTGCCCTCCATGTGCTGGCAGCATGGGCAAGAAGAGGAGCTGTGAGAGCAATGCCTTTCTCACAGCACAAGTAGGTGGGGGCTGGGGAATACCCAGGCTGGCAGCAGGAGCATCACCCACCTACCCTGAGAAGGATGAGTCACCTCTTCCTCCCTCTGTAAACAAAATATTTGAAACCCTGGTTTAGTGGTAAATTGTGACATGTTTTCTTGGTTCTCCTACTCAGGTGCTTGCTATCGGGGCCAGAACCCCACACATCATTTGTGAGGTGAAGAAGTGCCAGCGCACAGCTCATGAGCTCATCAGTGGGAAGGACCGGGTTTCTTGAAGAGCAGTTTTACAGCAAAGAGTGACTGCAATGCAAAGTTACCTTTCCTCTGCGGGCTGTGCCTCTGCGAGGTGAGTCAGAGTTTAATAGATGCCTTCGGTGACCGAGATAAGTTTGCAGGGACAGACCTGGGCTACGATCCGGGCGTGCTCTGCATCCTCAGCCAGGCTGTTTACCTCATGCAGCACAAGTCAGTGGGACTTGACAACCCATTTTGTCCCAGCAGGGCATGAAGCAAAGCCACCTGGGCTACTTGCAGCCAGGTGTTGAGATTTGGAGAGCCTGGGACCAAGATCATCCCCTCCCACACCAGGCAAGGACTCATGCCTCATGATCCCAGTGACACAGCAAAAGCCCCATATCCTGCAAGGAGCCTTTCATTTTTAACTGCGTTGTATTTAAAGCACCTCCTTTTATTGCCTCCAGTTGCATTTTACCTTGCAATATTAAACACAAAAGCAATCACCAGAAGTAGCCTGCCATTAAATTGCCATAGACCCAATTTCTGCTTTGCACAACACTAGGAAATTATAATAATACGTCACCACAATTTCTTAACAAAATGGATGATCAGTACTCGAATGAGAGATGTGGTAGGTTTGGAAACAAGCTCTCCCATTTTCTTCACCCCATGCGTGCCACGTTACAGAACTGGGTTACCGTGGATTACAAAATGTCCTCCTCTGAAGCATCATGTTTTGGTCCCCTCCAGACCCACAAGCATGGACAGTAGCCTGAAGCAACAGGTTAGTATCACAGAAATGTGTCACACTTGAAGTCACCTGAAAAAGGAAGGAAAATGCAGGTTTTCCAATTTGCTTCTTTTTGCATTGAATGTCCTTTTCACTATTCCCCTCCAGAGAAGGCACTGGGATTCTCCAGCTAGCTTTTGCTGTTAAACACGTCTCATCTGCCACACTTTTCCCTGAAGGCAGTAGACCTAACACAGAGAGAAACACTGCAAAACAGAAGAAAATGTTTGTCGGAGATCTTGTTTTACCACATAGCTCAAATGCCTGAAAATACTTGGAAAAATGCTTAATCCTTGTTTTAAAAGAAAAACCTGCAGATTACCCTTCAAAGCCAAAGAAAACTAGTGAATGTGCCTAAATTCTTCATTAAGGCCTTGAGGATTTTCCAACACACCCCATGTATTTTTAATGTAGCCTGATAGTCTGTTTTAACACATAACCTGTCAGAAGTAGGCTGAAGCTTGAGAATGTCATCTTTTATATTTAATTAAAAATTACTAATTAACGTTTCTTCCTTTTAGAGTTTGAAAGAGAAAAAGAGCTTGGAAGTGGGACATGGGAACACCCTAAACACAGAGGAGAAAAAGCAGAGCTCCAAACTGCCTTCAGATGAAGTCATTCTTCCAAGCCCCTCAGTTCACGCTAACCCTGGGTTAGCACTGGGCTGGTGAGAGCAACACTCTGTGAGAGCAGTCAGTCTCCATTTCCAAATCAGAGTGAAAAAAAAAAAAAACGAGGGGAACCAATCCAAGCCCATTTACATGGTCAGACCCATCTTAAGAAATCAACACCCAATTTTTTACATCTTCCACCAGGCCTTTCCCTGCTTCACTGCTTCTTTGGAGGACACGCTCACAATTCAATTATCCACACTTAGGGGCCCATAAAAATGAAAACAACCTTTAGTCAGCACACAAAGGCTGAGTAAAGACAAGGCCCAAGGACAAGGGCTTTGACGTGCAGAGATGCAACACCAGGCTGAGCAGCAGAGCCAGACGCTGAAGGTGCAGATTTCCCGGTTGGAGAATCCATCCCCATCAGAGCAGGAGCGAGGGCTTCGGTTGGGATTTGCCCTCTGTGTGGTGCATGCAGGGAGAAGCCCTATGAATCACAGTGTGTGCTTTCCCAAGGGTTTCTCAGGAGATTTGCAAGTCTAATCCTAATCGTAGCTTGCTCCAGCATGGCCGCTGGCAGGAGCTGCAGGCACACCACCCCCTCACGCACCACCCTCGCACCCCCCGAGCAAACGTCCCAGCTCCCGGCCATCTCTTGTCCCCAGACACTCACATCCTGCAGCTCCAACCAAACGCTCTCGTCCACCTCCACTGTCTGGGATCCAGCCCCATCTCTCACCTTCGGGAGCGTTGGATCTACCAGTTACCAGTTGCTGGATCTACCAGTTAGCGCACTGCTGGAAAGCAGTAATGGCTCCTGCTCACATCTCCCTTCCCTCCCCATCAAGGCCCCAGTCAAAAAACATCTTCTTACACCAAAACCTCTCTGAAGCATCCATGATGCTTGGAAGGGTCTGAACCTCACTTCCACTCTCTTCTCAGCCAGCCAGCTTGCCCAGAGCTGCCCAGCTCCTGGGTGAGAATTCAGTGCTGTGCAAACCTAAGGACAGAAGAAAAGAGCGAGGAGCTGAGGAGCATTAGTTTGTGCTAAGAAAGGCAGGCAGCAGTGGGGTGTCAGCACAAGGGATGCAGCCTGGGCCAGCACCAGCAATGCAGGTACATGTGCACCACATCCCACGTGGACAGCCCAGCCCATACCTTCCTCTCAGAGCAGCCACAAAGCACGCTGGCTTTGCCCCCTCCCACAAAATTCTTGCTGCAGTCAAGCTTTTTCATAGAAAACCAGATTTCTCAGCAGAAGGCGGCTTGCTTTCATCGCAGCTCATAGTTTCTAAGAAATGTTTTCCAGTTTCCTGAGCAGTTCTAGGAAATTCCAAGAGCAATCACCCAGCAGCCATTTCAGCCGCCCCCCTCCTGGATGGCCAAAGCCCCCACAGAAACCACCATGGGGTCAGCAACATGGGCCTGCCCCAGGCAGAAGTCAGCACCAGCCTGTGATTACTGCCCACTCAACCGGATCTAAACAGCAGCTCATTCACCGTCAGCTTCCCAACCAGGGCAGGCAGCCCACATTAGTACCAAAATCCCCATGCAGGACTTCTGCATCCCTCACACAACCCTCCTGCTTGGTGCCAGGCATCACTCGTACGGCCAGTACCCTCCGGTCAGCCCAGCATGTTTTGGAAAGAGAAAAATAACCTGGAGCACTCACATGGCATTGAACACCTTGGACATTTGTACAACCTGCAGCTCCGTGGTTGTTTTGAAATTCATGCCCCAGCTAAGACTCACCAGCGACAGAGGAGAGGCAGGGTTTTGCTACAGCAGCACGCCTGCAGGAGGAAAGGATGCCACTGGGACCAGATGTCCAAATCTTCATCCACCAACAGCTCTCCATGGCCAGATCTGGGGAAAGGGGGAGGAAATACGGGTACAAAACACACAGAAAAATCTCCCCAATAATTTGGTCAGACTAGGAAGAGAAGAGCATACAAATCTTTTCCTCTGAAAAACCCATTGGTGTCATTTGTGGAATAAACTGCCGTCATTTAACAGTTTGCTCAGCCCTCTGGATTGTCGCTGACAATTTCATTTTTTCAGAAGAATTAGTCATGCAGTAAATTGTTACACTTGAAATGAGAACCACAATCGCCAGATTATCACTCATCTAATTAAAAGCAACCTAAGTATTTCACACGATGCAAACAGTACGGTATTCACGTGCCAAACATCAAGATACAGAGCGCTTTGGAGTTTGACGTCAGTTTTTTGCTTCAATCAACATTTGCCTTTTAGGTCAATACATTTTGATGTTTGCCATAACAGAAACTAGAAGCGACACGCTTATTCTTGCAATTATTTTGCTTAACCCTTTTGGTGTCTGGAAAAACATTTACAAGAAAAAAGGGAGAGCCAAAGAAGAGCGTGCAGTCTCTGTGCATGGCCTTTCTCTCAGTTAAATCCAGAAAAATGCTGGTGCAGTTCTGTTATCTGGAAGAATCACACTGTTCCTTGCCAGCGCTGGCACAGAGCGTGCAACAACACTGCCAGTAATATTAAATATCACTAATAGCCCACCTGAATAGCCGGGAGACAAACATTCAGTTATTAAAAGCGACGGTACAGAATTGCCTAATTAAGCCCGGTAGCTTGCTGTTTACAGTGGGCTGGTGCCAAAAGAAGAACACAATTTTACAGCTTTTATTGCTATTGTTTCAGTGTATTGAGGAAAAAAAAAAAAAAAAAAAACTATTTTAATCAAACGCAGGGTATTTGAACTCCACAGCCACCATTTGCTTCAGCCACAGCGAGATAAGCAGGAGAATGAGCTCTTGTGCATTCGTCTGCTCAGTTTATACAAGCAGCAAGGAAACTGTTTGCTCGTGCTCACTGCGCTCCCCTTGCCAGCAATCCCCACGCCAACGTGATTGCTCGCAAAGAAAACAGCATCTGCCTGGCAAGGGTTAGTGCAACGTGTGCTGTACGGACGGACAGATGGACGGCTTCCCCAGCCCCGCCACCCATTCTGCAGGAATGATTTTGTGTCCCAAATATCCAAGCTTTAGATGAGCTCAGGAGTACAAGAGGATGGAGGAATCAGGCCTGGAACGGGAGCACAAAATGTGCACGCACAGTCACATGCACCCTGCCAAAAAAATGCAGACACACACTCACATTAGGCTTGTGGGCAGACTCTCTCTCTCACATGTATATGTATAAATGCATACATATGTGTATGTATATATGTATATATATGTATGTGTATATATATCTTTTTATTTTTCTCTGGGCCACAAGTCTTCCCTGCAAGCCTAGAATTGCCAAAAACTCTTTTGCTGGACTCGATCCAAATGGTTGACAGGACCAGCAACTGGTTGTGTTCCAGAAATAACAGGGAAACGAGGAGCAGGCATGCTATACGTAAAGAGGGAAAGGAGAGGAGGTCGTAAAGAGAAGGGCAAGTGTATGGAGGAGGTTTCATCATCCATGGGTAAAACCCAGAGCAATGGGGGCATGGTGCCCTTGGGAGGGAATAACCAGGAGTTCCTTGGCATCTCTCTCACACCACCTGTCTCTGATCCCAAACGGGAACAAAATCCCCCTTTTCTGGCTGGGGGGCACCTCAGCAGGTGTCCGTGTCCCCAGTGCCCACCATGGGGCTCCTCAGGCGCAGCACCCACCCTGCACCACCCCAAACACAGCTCCTCAAGGCAAAGGGGAGGCATGAGGTCAGCGTGCTCTGTCACAGCATAAACATAAAGATAAAAACCAAGCAAAACTGTCTATTAGCACAGGGAAGATAAACAACCGTTTCCCCCAGTTTCCCATAACTCATTGCCTTAATGGCAGAAGATAGGCAATTAATAGCGTGGCTTCCGCCTTAAATCACATCAGGGGCTATGGTTTAAACCCACTTTAAAGAAACTAGGCCAATCATTTTATAAGGCGTGGGAATTGTTAGATCATGCTATCCCTTCTGCTTCATACAATTGCATGAAGCCTGATACTGTAGAGAGGTTTTAATGAAGGCCTTATATAGCTCTAGGTCAGCACATTTGCATTTGTGAAGATTACACTGAAAGCACAAGAAGTGAAAGAGCATGAACAAACAGCAATGTTTTCATCTTTTAAAACAACATTCCCTCCGTGGGAATATGGTACAAGACACTGGGAAACAATGGTTTCTATTTCCAGCTCTGCTGTCAGCTCGCAGGAGTCTGACCTTAAGCAAATCATTTTACTCTGGAACCTCATTTATCTGCCTCGGGTGTGTGAGGCTCATTAGTACCCTTACTAATGAGCTTCACATAATCATATGCAAAGCACAGCATTTTTGTAGATTTTGGAAGACTAAGATTTGTAAAGCCCTTTGAAATTCAAGATGATGTAGATATGTAAAGATCTCCCTCCTGCTCCCTCTCTTGCGCACACAAACATGAGCACACCATCCAGGTGATAAAGACAAATTCTGTTTCGAAAATTTCGGTTCCCAAGCACCAGCTGTGTAACTCAAAGTCCGGTTTTGAAGTTTTATTACTTCTTTGAAATAACACTGCTATAAAACACACACTCACAAAAGAAACCCAAACAGCAGCAACTTACCGGAATGGTTGGTCTTGAGAAGGCAATAAAAGCCTAAACAAACTTGAACTTTGGACTGTGTGCTTTGTTGAGTTATTGAATTTGACAGGTTAATTTATTGCTTTGATCTGATTTATACACTGGCTGTGAGCTTGCAGAGCTTCTTCTGGTGAGGTGCTACTTTTATACTTTGTGCTCTGTTGTAGTCCTAATCGCACAGAGGCAACTACCTGCCAGGAGTGCACGATTACAAATCTATCTTTTATTCAACTAATTGGTACAGGTGGATTAAAAAAAAAAAAAGTTTTCATGCCTGCTACCGCAAAGCACAGAATGACTCTGTTCCCAAAAGACTGTCTTAATTTTTTGCAGTTATAACAGCTGCTCTGATAAAAGATGTTACCTCTACCTACAAATGTCATCCAGCTGATATCTTCAGAACACCACACTTGCAATAAAGCACCAGGATAAAATGTCTGACTCTTCACTGGAATTTGCAGGCTGTTTCTGTCAGCCTGCACACATCCACTAAGGGCTGGAATCCAGCAGCAATGCTCTGACCAGAGCTAACTACAGTTACTCACGCAGCATTAAAGATTAAACTTTTCCCAAAATTCAATTGAATTGCTTAATGGAAAGTGGAAACACAAATCAAGGGGACTTTTGCAGAAGGCTGCCAAAAACAGCCTTACAATAAAGCTGTAATATCTTTGCACAAAGGTTTCATTTCCCCCTCCACGCACAGGGACCATAAGCCATACCCTGCCAAGTTTTGTTCTCTTTAGCTCTGACCAAGGCTTCCCCAAGAGCCTCCAACAGAGCAGGCAGGTAAGTCTCCCCTTCACAGCCAGGTTCCCAAAACCCAGGTGTAAAACATCTCCTGTCTGCAGGCAGGGAGCTAATTCAGTCCCCAGACACCAGGGCACAACTCAAGCAATCTAAGCTACTCTTGCACAGCCAAGGGCTCTTTAGGGGACATCAACCTTTTGTGGTGGGTTTTTGGGACATGTGGCCATGTTGTCAAGTCTGCCTGGTCCCTGCCAGGTGCCTGGCCCTCACAGACAGCAATCGCTCACAGAGGCAGAGCCGAGGCAGAGCTTGTGCCTGCCTGCACGTGCAGGTGTGGAAGAGAGACACAAGCTGCTTTCACCTCTGCTTTCATCTGGGGAATATGGGCAGCCATGTGCCCACACTGCAACTGGACAGCTTTTCATGGGGGTGACTTGCTGTGGGAAAAGCAACCTGGGCAGCCCTGGGGCTCTGGTGAGCCACAGCCTCCCCACCAGAGCATCCCATGTACCCAAGAGCAAGGAGCTTTGCTAGGGGATGATTACAGCAGTGGGGAATTTGTCCCAGTTCATTGGGTGCAAGCTTTGCACATGCTAAATATTTCCTTGGATAGAGGTTCTGGGCATTAAAATTAAGGAGGAACAATATTTTGCAATGATAAAGAAATGGTCCCCTTGGCAATTGAGGTTTTGCCAGGGCAAGGAAGCAGCTGAAAGACCACCATTTTACGGAAGATGAGATCGGATTCTTATCTCTGATCAGTTTTCTACAATTTGTTTCTCCACTGGATCTAATTGCATCACTTTGCATTTATCCTTAGGTAAGGAAAAGAAAAATAGATTTAAGGTTCGATTTAAGAGAAATTAGGCAAGGCAAGGAGGTCAGAAGCTTTAATTACAACCTCATCTTGCTATCCAACTAGCATTATTCACTCCTTGCACTTGCCATAACCCCTCAGAAGCACGAGGAAAGATCTCTGTGCCTTCCTGCAGCAAGTCCAAAGCCTCAACTCCTTCTACATCCCAGAGAAGACACATGGCTCCCTCAAGATTTCACTAACTCAGGAGAAACTCCAACCATGTCCCAGATGCAGCAGCTGCACCACTTCTCCAATCAGTGTCACTTTGCTACATTAGGCCAACTCATTTCCAGCAAAACCCTCACCATGAAATTTTGGGAGAATATGATGAGCATGGTAGCCAGTTTCCTCCCCACGCTGTCTCTCATCCATGCCCATCCTGCAGTGCAGGGACTCATCTCTTATGATGGCAGGAGGTTCCCAGATGATCAGAACTTGTGAGCAGTCAGTGAAGGTGTCCGCACTGAAAATAACCTTGTAAAAAAAAAATATGAAAGTACAGAGGAAGAGTTACTGAGGCCATGCAACATCTGGCTGAGCTAAGGTGGTAGCAATTGGTGGGAATGGTCATGAGGAAGGATGAGGAAAAAACAAACATCTCAAACCAAATCCCTGGAGGAGTCGGAGCTGGGTCCATTCACACTGCTTTGTGATGCCCCCTGTCCTGAAAAAAAGAATTGCTGGTGCTTGGAACCCTGCAGATGTCAATACCAAGCTCTCCCAGATGAAAACAGAGATTTTTCTAAGTGCTTTGTCCAGAGAAACAGCCTTCATTGAAGTAAGGATTTTGTCCCTGACTGGGGGGTATTGCCCCAACATCCCTCCCCAGACCATCCCCATTCAGCATCACTAACCCCCAGCCCACACTGGCACCTGAGGGCACGCAGGCAGCTGCATGTAGATGGAGGAGGGACAGCGGTGAGGAGTCACCCAAACTCCTGCCAAGAGCAGCAGACGAGCCCGAGGGCCTGGTGCCCAAGGCAGAGGGTGCTGCTGGCTCACAGCACCTCTCAACCTTTCCCACCGGTGCAGAGCGGGGCTAGCAGAGCCCTATGCCTGGCCCTGAGCTACCCCCTGCTGCTTGTTATTTACCACTGGGGAGGTAAGTGACTATCTTCTTGTGGCTGAAGCAATGGTTGGTGTGGTAAGAAGTCAATAAAACTGTTTTAAGGCATCTTGTCCCGCCAGCCAGCTGTGCCAGCATCAGTCTCCATGATATAAACTGGACTGAAAGGGAGAGGAGATGGCAGTTCCCATTCCCTCTCCCCCTCATCCAGTGTATCAAAGCATCCTCACAGAGAGGAATGAGCCAGCATGGGGCAGGGCTGCCAGAAGCCCCCACACAGTTCGTGATTACAAAGCCAATCTCCTCGCCTGCTTCTCAAGCCAGGGCAGACGCCGGGGTGTTTCCTCCCACAGGCGCAGGCAGCCAGCAGCCCACCCACTCCTGCCTTGGGGGAACGCTTGTTCCCTGCCCCGTGCGTGAGCTGGCTCTACATGCGTTTGCATGTCTCCTGATAGCACCCGGATAGTCGCTTTTTCCAAGCCTTCACTTGGGAGACACCGGTAGCCCAGCGCAGCATTATGACAATTAGCACCACGCTCGGTCCCCAGCACGCAGACCTCTTGGCCACGTGTGACAGCCACACTTCCCCAGCAGGACAAGCAGCACACAGTCACTCATCAGCCCCAGCCATCCCTGCTCTCTTGCATCTCTGGCACCAGCACCCCAGGCAGGTGCTGCAGTGCTGGAGGTGCACAAGAGGGTTTAAGAGCAACCATCCTCTCTCCCCTTTGCTGGGATCTCACACCAGTCTCCTCAGCACCAACTCCAAAACAAGGCTTAGCTCGCAGGGAAGCAAAGAAAAGCAACACAGAGAAGGGGAAACGGGAGAGGAACAGCACGGAGAGCCAGGCCCCGGCCTGGCACGGCAGGGCCCAGCAAGCCGAGCCATGCCGCCGAGAGCTGCCGGGCGCAGATCACCTCCCACCCGCTTCCGCGGGCACAGGCCGCAGTGCCAAGGCATCTTCCCCCACGCATACCCGTCCTGCTCCTCACCCGTCCCAGCACAGAGTATGCCAAGGCAGACGGGCTCTGGGCCGAGGCCAGACGCAGGTGATAGGTTTTTTTAGCTCGGCTCACCCATCTTCTGCTCGGCTCCTCATCTACAGCTGAGGCACTGGCCTCAGCATCACAGCCTGTCCCCACCCCAAGCAGGCACACATGGGGCTGCAAAAAAGGCACCTTGCCATGCTGCTCACAAGTGTTTTTTATTAAGGGGGTTGTGGAACAATCAGCATGACCAGGTGCTTGCAGAACTGCCCTGTGAAGCCTTCTTTTCTGGTTAATCAGGGAGAAAAAGCAGGAGGCAGCCTGACACCACTGCAGCACAGAGCTCTGCAGCTGCGAGGTCAGGGAGAGCAGATGGGCAATCCCTGCCCCCTGCCACCCTTACAGCCACGGCATTACACGTACCGCATCAAAAGATGATGGTGGCTTCACAAACGGGGTATGGGGATGGCTGCAAATGATGCAATGTTTCCCTGTGCTGGCTTCCCACAAGGCGTCTCTGCTTGGAAAAAAGCTCCCAGCTGCACTGATAGACCTGGAAGACAAACTTATATTCAGGAGAACATCCCAATGTAGACTTTCCTAACGGCTTTCTGATAAGGAGAGATATCGCAGCATTTCTATATCTCATGCCATGCAACAGATGCACTTCAAAGGCACCAGGCTACATCCTGGTGACCCAAGGTGTTAGCACTTGGGAAAGAGGGAGACCAAAGGCAGGCATATAAAAACATGCAGGGAATACATTGTTCACCAAAAAAAAAAAAAGAACAGGAGAAAATACAATTTTCTGTGGGAGACATAGTCTCCCCACAGGAAGAAGTGGAGGTTTGTTTTAAGTGGGTTTATTTTTTGTAACATTACAAGTATTTTGTTTTAAAGGAATGGTGTTTCACCTGTAAAACCAGAGTTCATTTTATCTCCACCCACTCCTCATTAATCGACCTCAAAGAGCATTTTTACAATGAAGAGATACAATATTAGTTAAACTAATGACTTACATAAGCAGAATCATTCCCTCAATCTCACCAAACACTTGGATCAAGCAGACAGGTCCTGAGAACTGACAGCTCCAGCCAAGCTCTTGAAGGAGGAGGGCACCTCAGGGGACTCCCTGATCCCAGACTCCATCAACAGCATTGATGAAGCCACTCTGAAGATGTGACATGGCAAAGAAAACTCTTTTGAGTGCACAGAGGAAGTAGCTGGAATTTTTCACAGGCAATCACTAGGGAAAGAAATGGCAACATCCAGGCAATTGCTGGGCCCTGTGTTGAGAGGCAGGATGCAAAGCAGGCCCAAGTGGATACTGTAGATAACAGTAAAGTCCCATGTGAAGGGCATGCAGGAGTTGATCTGCAGGCTATAGCTAGCCTACAGCATGGCTGAGCCAAAAAGGACAAAGGCTGTAGGGCTACATAGGCCCTGGGACCCACACATGGGGGACAGAATCAGGTACTTGATGTTCTAGCAATGGGTTATGACCAGAGGAACTCAAAGAGGAGTTGAATAGGCTCCATCATCGAAAGATGGTGGAATAGGCTAATTCTAGGCAAATCATCAAGGTTTGGCTAATTTTAGCTTTGACCATTTCACTTTCCTCTTGTTGTCTCCCTGAGTTTCAATTTCTCTTCTCCGCAGCCAACATTTTGGCATGAGCAGACACATATAAAAAAATGCATTGATGGGGTTAAAAAGGAAAACTTGAGCCAATAGGATTTGCACAAGTGGGAAAATGGGCAAGGAAGACAATGGCTCCAAAGGTGAGGCTGGGAAAGGAAACAACTTGGGGAGCAGCAACACAGAGCATGAGAGAGAGAGCATGACTGTAAACTGAATGCACAAGGCAGAACAAGGCAGAAAGCCTGATCTGGTGAGGAACATAGGTAAAGGCTGGAAAAATGGGTCTGACTGGCACCCAGCAGCTGGAACCAGCAAGGGGGTGCCACAGGCACCATGAGGGACAGGGGTGGAGGCAACAGGAGAGGCAGGATCTGCCCACATGAGCTCAAGCATGGCACTCCAAGGAAGAGACCCAGCAGGAGACATGCAAGTACCACAGTTAGGTGTGGTGGACCATATGCAATAGGAGAGAGAGGCCCTTGGGAGCTGCCCAGGAAAAGAGGCACCAAAGAACTGTCAGCAGCTTTGAGTGGAAAAGCAGGTCTCAAAGTGAAGTTTGGCAGCAAAAGAGAAGTTTGCAAAGTATTTCCCACAAAAGTGACAAAGAAAAGAAAAAACGCTGGCTAATTGAGAAATAGGAGGGATGGGTGAAATTTGTAAGGGGACACCAGAGTATTTAAAAAAGCAGAGGGAGAGAGAGAAGACAGAGCAAAAGAAACCCATCAGCACCAGCCCTAAAAATGGCAGTGGGGTGCAGGCCATGGAGGAGCTATGCAGCAGGAATCTGCAAGAGAGGGAGGATGCAGTAAGACCAGAAATACTCCCAGGAAAGGATGGGACTCCATGGTACTCCACATAGGATCTATGCAAGACACATAGAGATAGGTAAGGCAGGGACAGAGAGAGATGTGGCCAAAGCAAGCTGAAAGCAAGGCTAATGGGTTTAGCAAAGGCAAGGAGGAGTCTTCAGAAGCATGGGAGCAATAATTAAGAGGATGTGGCACCAAGATATGATGGCAAGTAATTAAAGGTTGGTAAGAGGCAGTAATTTAAGGCTAATAAGAGGCAGCAATTTATCAGGAGCCAACAAGAGTAAAGAGTCCAGGAGCAATAAATTCAACAATAGGGCAAAACCAAACAGGCAGAGCAAGAACTGGAGCCATCAGCATGATAACGAGGACCACAGCGCAGCAGCGTACAGGCTGCGCACAAACCCAGCAAGAAGCTGATAGAGGCCCCCCATGGGGCTGCCGGGCCTCCTCCCTCTCCTTATTCAAATCTTCCCCAAGCGTGCCGGGAGGCTTCTGGAAGACGACAAGCAAGCGACCAGGGAAGACTCATCTGTTTGAAGTAGGGGCCCACAGCGTCCTCGTCTCCGCACCCAGTGTCTAGACTGAGAGCTCTCAGGGCAGAGGCTGTCACGAGCCCCTGACTGCTCCAAGGGGCGATGGGGGGATTTGCAGGGGTCAGCAGCCACTAGTAAGCCCCTGAAGGAAGGTGCCACCCCTGGACCTGATGAGCAAAGGCAGCACAAGGAAGGGGCAAGAAGGCTTAATGTTCGCAGCCTTAGCTAGGAAGTGCCAGCCAGGTACCTCTTGGGAGAGCACAGGTCCGTCCTCCCATTGTAGCTGGGAAGCAGGAGCCTGGGCACTAGTTTGGGAGCAGGAGGACACAAGGAGCATGCTGCCTTCCCTAGAGCTCTTACTGCATCTTTCTGACAGCTTCCTAGAAGCAAAAAGATTTTTAGAAAGGTTTATTAGTAGTGCTTCTACTCCATAAAGTCCAGATTGACAGGGAACAGTTGCACTGTGTCCCGGCTTGAGCATCCCAAGCTTGAACACCAGCTCGTGCTGCTCCCAAGCAAGCTGTGGAGCTGGTCAGTGCCCAGTGACCTCACACCTGCGGTCAGGTTTTCTCCAGATCTCCCTTCCCTGGGCTCTGCCATGGCCCAGCCTGAATGTACAGCTGAGGACGCTGGGTGTGGAAAGGAAGGGCTGCTCCGAAATCAAGGGAAGTGTCCTGAGACACCGATGCAGAAACCGTGGGAAAGAGGCTAACGACATTCATGCTCATCAGTAGACAGATAAAACCACTTCAGTAACAGAATTACATTATGACAGCTAAGGAAGAAAAAAAAAAATTCTTTGTTCACTGTGTCTGTAATAAAGTACAAAGGTATCTGCCTTTGCACTACTGGTTGCACGGGCAGGTTGCAGTCCTGGATGAGGGCTGAAGTTGCTGGTGCGCTGTGTGACACTTTCCGAGCAGGACATCAGCCCTTTGCAATGTTGACTCAGCCATCCCACCCCGCTCCCACCCCCCATGCCAAAATGTGCACAAAAAACACCTTTCCTGGGGTCCTCCTCACTGGAACAGAAAGAGGAGACTGCAGGGTTTGCCAGCTCACATGGACATGTGGATGTTCTGCATTTACAGAGACAGCCAAGAGAGAAGCAGGGAGCACACGAGGGTCCTCACCCACTGCTGAGGACATGCTTCATCCGTGTAAGGCATGGGAGAGAGTCTATGTTGGTGTTCATTCTCAGGACAGAAAACCATTAGAAACTTGAATTTTATTCCGCGTAGATTTTTTTTTTGCTACATGTTTTTACTAGTGTATTCCATTTGCAAATTCAAGGGAATAGTATGGGAAAAGTTTCTATTTTTAACAAAAGAAAATAAAAACTTCTGAAGTAATGAAGTATTCCTGGATTAAAAGATTAATCTTCTTGAAAGAGTTTTGCAGTCTTATGTACTCCCACACAATACATTTTACATACTTACATTTTGCATGCATATATACATACAATTCTCCTACAGAGTACAAAAATAAAGTGATCTATATTCTAAACCTACTCTACATATGCATTTTTCTTCTTCAGACATATGTGAGAAAGTTTGAAAAGCTGTACCAGCCTGCAATGAGGGCGATGGGCAAGGACAGGGCTGGATAAAAGCTGTATATTCCTAGGCATTAAAGCATCCTCTCTTATCTGTTAACTTTAAAGACACTTATATTATTTATCTTAACTATCTTTAAGAGAACTCTATCCTGAACAACAGAATAGCTAACTTGATAGCATAATAACTTTTAGTGCATCATTCACATCCTGAGCTGTATCTTGCTACCCCATCCCAAAAGCAAGACTTGTTTCATATAGCTGTCAGAATATTCATGGCAATATATAAAGCACTTTTAAAAGTTCATACCAGTAATGTAAATGTTTATTTCTCAGTTTGAATCATCGCTATTCTTTTCTGAGAAATCCATTAATGACTAAGCACGCTTTATGACCAGCTTTTAAAATCATAGACTCATTTTGGTTGGAAAAGACCCTTAAGATCATCAAGTCCAACCATCCACGTAACACTGAGTCTGCTGCTAAACAATGTCTCTAAGCACCATGGCCACATGTCTCTTCAATACCTCCAGGGATGGGTACTCCACCACCTCCCTGGGCAGCCTGTTCCAACCCATGACCACCT